TGATTATCGTGTCGGGTTGCTTAATCATGTTCTTATGCTCAATTACACACACACACACACACACACACACACACACACAAATCATTTGTCCATACCCTTTTATGTGGCCACATTTCCCCGTGAAACCGCAGGCACTCCGTGGCCCGATGCATTGCGAATGAATAAAACAGATGTTCCGTGTAGCTGAACCACGTGATGCGTCATCACTCATTTCACAGCTTTTTGTATTCGCCATTTCGTGAGTTTGAAACTCAAAGCTACAGTGCGATTGCTCCATCGTTTTCGATCGTCTCCTCCCTCTCACCCGTGACCTTAAACAAGTAAATTCTCTCTGACCCCTCATGGGATCTGATTGGATCATACTCCGCGATCTGCGGCGCTAAAAATACCTCACCCCAACACGAGACTGTCTGATTACGTTTTGTACGTTTTGTAATGCTCTTGTTGTTACGTCCAATCCATCCGAGTGCTGATGACACACCTGCTACACAGCGAAGTTCCCTGGGCCTGCCTGAGACTCACAGCTGTAAAGAGAGGTGTGGTTTCTCGCTCGGGTTAGCTGGGCAAGCACCAGGGCCCTTGTTACGGCTGAACCATTTGACCGATCGCTAAATGAACCCGAACGGTCGTGTGATTTTCGGGCCGGCACAGGAGGAGGCTAGGTTCCGAATCCGATGCAGCCTGTGTTGGTAGAGGATCACCCCAAAAGAATCAGTTGCAATGTGTGCATCGAAATCCTCAGACGTCCACATGGCACCGCTCCACAACTGATTCTTTTGGGGTGATCCTCTACCAACACAGGCTGCATCGGATTCGGAACCTAGTCTCCTCCTGTGCCGGCCCGAAAATCACACGACTGTTCGGGTTCATTTATCGGAATCTGGTCATAACCCTGATAAGTCATGTACCGCAGCTGTGCTAAACATGTGCACGCACAGACGGGTGTGCCAGTAGACGGTCACGTGCGCGGGAATGAAACCCGAATGATGAATCGTGAACAGCCTCGCTCGCCGAATGTCGGATCACGTGAGTTACGAACGATGGTGAACAGAATCAAGATTGATTGAATGTCTACTTCAGGACGAAATATTTCTCCATCCTCAATTATAATCATTCATTTCCCCGAATACATTGATATCGGATAGAATGCGCTTGTTCAATTGACCTCCCTATCTTAGGCCAGTTTATATGATGTATGTTGTTTTCGAAATCGAGGGCAGCTTTCATTTTGATCGTCCCCAATCGATATTTTACTGTTCTTGAACAGGTATTATTCGACAAAACAAAACTCAGTCACAAAGAAAAATGGAAAAAGAGGAAGTGCAGCAACAAATCGAATTTTCTTTTTCATTCGTTTTCCCATATTGCAATAGATCATAATAAAAGTGTTTTTGTTTTGAAAAATAAGTATCTCCGGATCAATCACGATTGTTTCGATCAACCGAAGTCCCCACATAGTCAGTCGGTCGACAAATGTGGACGTGGATGGAATCTCGTTACTATTTCCGTTATTCCATTACATCATCATCATCATCATCATCATCATCATCATTCACGTAGTGTATGTAGTATGTATGTGTAAAGCTAAAGCATAAAGTTATTTTTGTTCTCGAAAGAACCGACTGTCCAAATGTTGCGCTTTGGTTACCATTTGTTCAACCAAGGGAGTAGAGATGCACTTCTCCCCGGTCCGATTGTCCGAGATGGGATAGATTTTCAGTGCTTCACCCAGGTACAGCTCTTTTTGCATCAGCTCCGAGGCCATATCCAGATATGCCGGCTGCTCCGGTTCGAAATGGGCCATGACGAACGAGTATTCCACAGTGGATTGGATCTGTACCAAACAAAAACAACAATAAAAACAATGAGAATAAATTGTATTGAATTAAAGATTCATCTCTGTGGTTGGTGGTTTGCTTTCTCACTGTCGGACGCGTAGAGAACACAAGAGAAACACACACTGTCTATAGATAGCATGTATGCGGGAATCAGATGGAGAGCAATGAGCTATGCGTTATTTGTCAGCAATTATCTGCACGCGCTTGTGTCTCCCACACAACGCAAAAAAGACATGCGGCTGAACAGCAGCAGTTCGATCGATCAATGGATCAGAAAAAGAATTGAGCGCACTCTGATTTGTGCTCTCCAATCCGTTGTTCCCGTGTTTCTCTCTCTGCGTGCGTATGTGTTCACTGCGGCATGAAAACCGTGCACAGATATGTATAAATCTGTTCGCAAGCAAAGCAAAGCACACTTTCCAATGCAGTCGATTGTACCACTGAATTGAGTTATCCGACATGGACAGATATACCGAGAACACGTTTGCCGTAGTCTTGGAAATAATCATCCCTTTCAGCCATCCATGGTTGATATCTCTCAGGTAGTTTTATGATAACCTATTACGTATGATCCATGGGTGTGTGTGGGTGACCCAAATTCTGATCAGCGGTGAGAATTGATGCAATCTTATGGCAAAACAGGACAACAAATATGCAGTGACTGTAGCACTCACCTCATTCAGCGTTCTCATCCACCGCTCCGCTTTCTCCGGGGGAATGATAGTGCCATGAAGCTGTGGGAAACAAACGGGGCGGAGGGGGGCATTAGTTTTGTGTCGAACTCATACTGATGATGCAATGCTGCGTGTGATGCTCGGCAGAAGATAGTTCAGAGCGGTGTTTTAACATATCCCAATCAATCTTGAAGTATTTATGGTGTGTAATAAATAGGTCCGACCACAATGGGGGTTGTTCTAACTTGTTTGATCGATCACGTAGAGGCATATTGTGTGGGTGTGTGATCATCAGCATTTCCTCTTACGTCAGTAAGTGATGATTACATCATATAAAAAATGCACCATGCTAGCTTTTCAAATTGAGACAAGATAAAGACACACGTTGTACAGAGGATCGACAGAAATGAAGGAAATCGCGTAGAATGTCCAAAATTTGCTGTTGGGCATGTTGCCCCGGGGTCATTGTATGCTCTGACTTCGAGGGCTCGAAGTCGGGCACGGATTTGAACTCTGAACATGAACATTTTATATCATAATAATGAGTCTTGAGTGGTAGATAGATATCTCATAGACCAACCGGATGATCCATTAATCACTTGTTCATAGACAAAATTTATGCGTTACCAGTGTACCTCGTCAAACGATCTGAGTTTGCCCACCCTGTTCCCGGGTCGGACTCATGGAACAGAACTAGAAAATAATCATTGTGTCCTATAGACAACCTATCGCGATGCTTTAAACCAGTGATAGTTTGGCATTTTATGGAGGTCGACCACTTGCTCATATGGGCGACCGCGATTGCCTAAAACTCTACAGAGTGACACAGTTTGATTGGAGTTGCATCGACCAGACCGATCGAAGCGCTAAAAAATTTCGGAATTTGTCCTCGCAGGCAAATAGTATTCGGGCACGACGCGAACTTACCTCATCTTTCCACACGACAGCCGACGAATTCGAGCGTCGCGATCGGAATAGTTTGCGAGTACAGTTCCGGCGCCAGGCTGCGCTAAGAGCATTGCAATAGGCGTCTGAACGTACATCATCTGGTTTGGGCAAGTTGACGGGATTGATACCCTCGGATGCGGGTTTCGCTGACGCGGACGTGGACAGAGAATCTCCAAGCGAATGTTGCAAAATGCGATATTTTCGGACTATCTCGCACGATGCAGGCGAGTGGATTTGATCCTTCAGGTCGGATTTGAAATAGATCTTTGGGATGACCGTGGCACGACGTTGGGACGATTCATCAAACAGCACTTCCATTGGACGTACGGATATCGGTAATGGACGCTTATCTGTGGATCGGGTCACAGCAACCACCACATCGGGACAGTAACGGGTGTTGGCGTAAAATGCTGGATAGTTCGACCCGATCGCATACAATCGCAAAAAGTCGGCACATTTCCACACAGGAGCTAATCGGTGCAGCGGAATAACTTGGAGTTGAGCGACACGTAACAACGGTGCGGGGCAATTCTCTTGTGGACATGTCCAGCNATGTCCAGCTGACTTCATCTTCCGTGAGGCCACAACAAACAAACTCCAGAGTATTTTTCAAAAAGACTTTCAAACAATTGTAACAGGCCAAATGCTGGTTCACACACAGCTCGATAGGATCCTCGGCCAAAGGATTCTCGCACAAAACACATTTAGTCGACTCTTCCAGACTTGCAGGATCTATGATGACAAATGACGATTCCAGTTCGTCCTCATCTTCCGTGGGAACGCTTATCACGCTTGATAAGGAATCCTCCTCGTCTACCGTGGGTGGAGCGACCAACCCAGTTTGTGGGTCTTTTATTTCATAGAGTTCGTACGGCTGACAGGATTCCCAGTCATACCTGAAACAAATCATAATAATGTGAAAACACGTGAAAATCGATCAAACATGATCATAGTGTCGGCAAGATAGGAGAAATTTGCGGACGAATCGTAAGAAAATTGTACGATGAACTACACCAGAGACTCCCTATGGAATTAGGTCTAAGCGTTACGTTAAAAATCAGTGGAAACATGAGCTGGGCGATATCGGTCGCCAAGATATGATAAACCAATTCACATTGCTGCGGGCAATGAGCGTGATAAAACGAGGCAGTCACCATATAAACAAAATACAATACCATCTTCCAAATCGTGTAAACAGCGTGAATGGCTTATCACTCTGGCGCTAACTTGGTAACAAATGTGTTTGGTGAGTAATTTTGACCGCAATCTTTCTCTGCCTATGATTCTGACCATATAGTCTTGATCACATAGACTGTAATATGTGTACAGATTCGGCGAAATGAATCCAGGAAACATTGTGCAAACCTGCGCTTTTGGCTTCTTTATTCAAATTCGTTACGGGGAAACTATGCCTCCAAAATACAACGTGTGTTACATTTGGCACGCCACGGACAGATATTCATAGCCAATACCCTGTTAGTAAATGTTAGTTGTCTATTTTTGTACTTCTCCGTATCTATCACATTCATTTATATATGGAGTCGATAAAAGTCATCAAGATATTAAAACAAGTGCAACTTACGCGGCCGCGGGAATCACTTTCAAAGCCTGCACAGCTTGTTGGATTAGAGCATCCACCGTCAGAGTTTGCTCGTCCGGCTGACGGATCGGATCACGAGACTTATTCCTGGTCAGTCGTCTTCCCTCACGTGTGAGTGCTACTCGAAGCTGCACACTGTATGCGCGCAGATTGGACGGCGTAGTGGACTGCGGCTGAGTTGCACTTTCGCGTATGATCAAATAGGCCACATTTTTATAGCTGTTTAGATTGTCCGAATCAACTCGGTCGGACTCGGAGTGCAGTGCTGCACTGGTCAGAGCTGATAAATCGACCGTAAGCACAGTCGGTTTATTGATCCGTAGCACGTGATCTGACACAGCACGAGACGAACATTCACCTGCTGTCTCAGCGGATGTTTGGGAATCAATTGGCTCCATCTGAACCGTGACTTTTCCTGTGAACAATTTGCCTTGTGGATCACAAAACAGATTACCCTCCGGTGGCTTCGTTGTTTGCATCTCCCGCGGAAACGGAACCGAATATGTGTCATCAATTATCACAGGTTCTTCGTCACTTTCTTCCGACAAGGATAGATACATCTCTTGAAGCAGTTCGTTCGGATCCGATTTCTTGTTCACCTCTCGCATGTACGACTGAAGTGCATCACGTTTATGTCTTATCTTTTCTGGATAACTCCATCGTTTTTCATAGTAATGGTAATGACTTTTTTTGACCATCGGTCGCGGTTCCAAAATCAGTGCACTCACTTCGGGTGTTATGCTGTTTTGTGCTTTCTCATTTGGGCTCTGTGGCACAGATACCAGGGGCTCATCCGCCGCGAAGTCCAATTTTAAAGGTCGTTCATTCGGTTTGTGATGATTTCGATGTTGACCCCGTTTCACCCGAGTTTTCTTCGTCACTGGTATCGGAACCGTGGCATCATTCGAGTTCGTCGACCCCGGGCCCAGCACGGTCGAATCGAACCGATTGGCCAGGCTTAACTGTTGTTGCCGAATCGCGGATCGCATGTTGACGCGTGGTGTGAATTGCCGCTTCCGGGAGTAACTTGTGTCGCTCATTGCCAAGACATGACCCCGATTCGTGTATGGATCGACCATGGCTGTGACAATCAAGTGATTGGGATCGGCCGGTTCTTGTTGGATATAATTTTCCATATGTTGAAGCAATTCCCATCGGCGATGTTTATGTTGAGAATAGGGGATATTTGGTACCATGCTGATATTTTTTTGGAGCGAAGGGTTAGGTAAAAGAGAGAACAACGGGATGTGGATGTTTGTTAGTTGTGTGGGTCTACATCTGAAGACACAGAATGTGAATGACTTGCGAAGTAAAACATGTGACGTCATTATTTAGGAGTAGACATTTTTAGCACTTAGTTGACATATTGAAGAATTAGATCAACTAAGTTATGCAGGATATGTTTATGGATCGGTGGATGGAATGTTATGAAGCGAGTTCTACGGTTTCACTGGAATTTGACACATTTAAAAATGAAGGGGAACAATTATGTGTCAGTGATTTCAAAAATTGCATTGCTCAGTCATTCGACCACTTTTTCCTCTTCCCACTTTGGAGTGTTTTTGTTTACCAATCATATTAAACATACTCATCGTGCATTAGGGAGGATGTTATGTATGTCACGAGACATGAGGAGTTAAGTATACTGCACGCTGATCCGAACGGTACTCAGTAAGTATGCAGAATGTGAATAGATGTGTAGACTCCTACATTACCGTCAGCTTTCACAATCTGTTTCTTTCTTATTACACATCTAGGTGTGATGAACAGCAGACGGGGTAAACTCCATAGTCACGAGGACCTGCTGTTCAGTGGTGGAAACCGGCAACCTAAGCCCTGGGACTTGGAGTGGCGAACCACATAAGGCCCCGATAGGTTAGGCGTGGTATTGAACCGGACGACAGCAGAGCTGCCTACCACCAAATTTGGGTGGCGGTGGCGGGGCTCGAA